GTAGAGGTCAGACTCATGGTGCCATCCCTCCATCTGCACCTGGCCAGCACCAAAGTAGAGGGTTTGCTACACCATCTCTTGTACAACAAATTGATTTTTTTACATACAAAACAACAAATACATTAGGGAGACAAATGAAGAGAAGCAATAATAAGCAATAATAAAAACAATTCTATAACTGCAATTATTGGGTAGTGTAACATAAAATATCTGACCTATGAAGGGTATACAGAAATATTTATTGATCAAGAAGGGTTAATAGCTATGAAATAATTAGCCTGGTTGATACAAGGTTCCATATTATATGTTCACATTTGAAAGGAGATTCTGTATTTAGATTAGAGCAGACTTGGAGATCTTTTCCTGTCTAGTGGTGCTTTTATATTGGTTACCCATATATACAGTTCCATGCTGGATAATTCTGGTGTTAAGATTGAGACAGCCAGTATAAATCAGCCTTATTAAGGACAGTGCAGCCCTTATGCTCCAAAGTATTTCCACAAAACACTATGGCCCCAATCCACAAAGGTACTTAGGCACTTAACCCCCAATTTAGGCACCTAAGTCCCAGTTTTAGGCTCCACTGCAATCCAGAAAACTTCTGCTGAACCCTGTAGGCGCCTACACTCACTTGGCACTGAAATTTACAGGGTAAAAGTTCCTTAGGCAACTAAGTTTCTGCCTCTGAGCATATACACTGCTGCCTCCCTCTAGGTGTCCATACAACTGTCTCCCGCCTAAGCCCCACAACAATTCATGAACCAGCAAGAATAGGTGTTTGTTTGTGGGGCCTGATCGGGTAGGGGGTCTCAGAGGCTGCCTACCAGATTGGGATGCATTCACAACCAAGGAGGCGGTGATGGTGTCATCCATCTTGTAACTTTGAGCTCAGTGGTTAGAGCACTCACCTGACATGTGGGAGACCCAGGTTTAATTCCCCCTCTGTTGGAGAAGAAGAAAGGAATTGAAGAGGAGATCCCCGCACCACTGAGAAGAGTGCCACAACTACTCAGCTATGGGATATTCTGATGAGGAACACCCGCAGTCTCTCCTGTTGAAGCTGTTCCACTGTGGATAAATAATTAAAGAGTGATTGAAACAGGGGGTTTGACCCATGGGTCTTCCACCTCTCAGGCAGGTGCCCTAAGCACTAGGCTGTAGTCATTCTCTTGCTCTTTTTCTGGCCCAATAGCTATTCCACTGTGAGTAAAGACTTAAATAGTCATTGGGCAAGAGAGAGAATTAGTAGCCTTGAGGTTGGGGCACTCTCTGGAGAGTTGGAAGACCTTGGGTCCAGTCCCCCTGCTCCAATCACTCTTTAATTATTCATCCATAGTGGAATAGTTTCAACAGAATATCCCATGCCCAGTTGCTAGGGCCCTCACTTCAGAGGTGGGAGACCTCTGTTCAAATCCCCTTTCCCCCTTTGGCAGAGATGGAAGAATTAAACCTGTGTCTCCCACATCTCAGGTGGAGTGCTCTAACCACTGGGTCAAAAATTATACAGTGGGCACCCCGAATTGCTGCTGCCATTTTGTGTGGAGCAAGGCACATATCTAACTCATTCCCACAAGAAGGTACTTATTACCTAAGCTGTGTGGTTCCAGGACAGGGGTTCTTGCTCGTCAATCACTAAGCAGAGTTAGGCATCTATTCTGAGAGAGGTGCGGAGCTCCCTGCCTAGTATGCTGGCTTTTGTGGGTCACATTATGAGGCAGCTATCTTCCACGATTCATTATGTAGGGAACCTAAGTAACTAACTCAGGTTTTGTGGATCACAGTGTTGTTCCTGTGACTTTTTTTTTTTTTTTTTTTTTTTAGGTGTCTAAAAATTAAACACTGCAATGCTGAGCATGGCAACATCTAAATCCCTTTGCAAAGCTGGGCGTGTGCCTCTATGAGACACAGTTGCACTTGACTCTCTCTCTGGGGTGCAAAAGCGGCCCTGTGCCCCTACTACATAGCTGAGGCTTAGTGCTACAATGTATACATGATAAAAGAAAAGCAGAGTTAAAGAGAAATCCTGGCCCTGTTGACATCACTGGTAGAACTCTTAGTGGCTTCAGTGGGACCACAATTTCATCTCCAGTCTTAGCTGTGTGCTACACAACACCCTCTAAACTGCAACACTCTGTAGCATGTAGGCACAAGATATGGAGATAAGAAAGGAGTGGCAGCTTTCAAATCTATTTTTTGTTTAATCAATTTATTGCTTTAAATCAAAACCCTAGTATTGTTTGAATATTGGTGTCGATATTTCTGAATATATGTAAATATCTGTGTATTGCTGATATTTGGGCCAAATTTTCCAGTTAGATGTGCACATTTGTACTCGTATTGCGTACATCTACGTTAGATTGGGACATGCTTATGGTATGTGTGCAAATCAAAAGTTTGTATGGACATGTATGTGCAAGTGTAGGTACACATGAACATGTACAACTGACTTTGAAGTTCTGCCTGGTTTTCCTTTACATTTCAGTTCTTATGAGATTATTTTAATAGTCTTTCATAGATATTTCAGAATATAGTATGGCTTTACATGTGTTTGTGAGTCTGTGTGTGTATATATGTGTGTTTGTATTGTTCCAAATTTGGTTTATCTATAGGGGGCCCAGTCCTGCAGTCATTACTAGGCAAAATTCTCATTGATTTCAGGATCAGGACCAGCATGTACATGTAAAGTGTCACTGACTTTAAAATTGTTACAGCCGGGTGGGATAAAGTATAGGCTTTTGGGAAATCCTGTGGGACTTGGGTAATTCTTTTCATTGCCTTGGCTTAACCTAGTCTGAGGTGTCATCCCCAGAGCTGAGAAATTTAGAAGCTTCATTTTACAGTAGAACCATTTACCAACTTTTAAATATTGTTTTGTCTTAAAAAAAGGAAGCTTTGAAATCTTCAGGAGTGGCTGGCTCTGAGACTCACTCCTCCAAAGGAAGAAATACAAAATGCCAACCACATGCTAAGTGGTAGGAGTTTGTAGTTCTCTCTCAGTGCACATCTGATAGCCACAATTCTGCTACACTTGGACTGTGATATCTCTGTAATGTTCTAGTACTATTTACTGTGTGGTGATCATAGAATTCATATGGCAAAGTGACTTATTTATAACTCAAAGGGACATTTTCTTCTCTATTTAGTGTAATAAAATCTGATCATCTATAAGCAAAAAGTGGCATTATTCAGAAACTTTTGTTTGTAGGTAATAGTCCTTGGGTAGAAAACATCTCGATTTATGCTATTTAAAGTTCTAGGGAAAAATAGTTGAAAACAGATTGAGATGGTTAGAGGCCATATAAACCTTTTGACCCATTTTAGGAATTACAGTATCCTGAAACTAAAGTGAAGACATTTTTTATTTCTTTTTAAAATGTCTTTAGGCGCAGTAACATTTAACAAAAGGAAAGGTTTTTCTCATTAAACTAAAATATTATTGAGTTACTAGAAAAGCCAAAAATCTTAGCTAGTTCTAAAAGCTCAAACATTTCCCACCTTGTAAAAGTTCCTCTGTCTTCCAATGTGATTTGATCTTCCGTGAGGTTGTAGTTCACAATCACACTTACTATATTGTACCATAGTACATTTCCTCTTCACATTTACCCATGGAACTCGCTAACTTTTTCCAGAGGAATCCAAGATGCAGGGACCCCTGTGGTAGAAAGTCCATCCAAAAAAGGATTGCAGCAACACAAGATTCCTACAGCTCCTTGGTCTGCCTTGGGGCCCTCAGCTGACCGGACCAGCAGTGCCCAACAAAAGTCAAGGAGCAAGTGGATTGCTTGCCAGGGAGGATATGGATGGGAGATGCACTGAATCAGTGTATCCTCAAGCCACCTCTGCTGGCAGGATTCCTGTGGTACTGCAGCCTTAGTTTAAACCTACCCTCCCTATGGCAGGGGTGGAAAGACCATGTAATCTCCCTGATAAGTGTGTTCCCTGATGTGGCAGCCCTCATTAGCACAGTACATAAGAATGGCCCTAGTGGGTCAGACCAAAGGTCCATCTAGCCCTGTATCCTGTCTTCCGACAGTGGCCAGTGCCAGGTGCCCCAGAGGGAATGAACAGTAATCATCAAGTAATCCATTCCTTGTCTCTCATTCCCAGTTTCTGGCAAACAGAGGCTTGGGACATCATTCCTGTCCATCCTGGCTAATAGCCATTGATGGACCTATCCTCCATGAATTTATCTACCACTTTTTTGAATCCTGTTATAGTCTTGGCCTTCACAAAATCCTCTTGCAAGGAGTTCCACAGGTTGACTATGCGTTGTGTGAAGAAATACTTCCTTGTATTTATTTTAAACCTGCTGCCTATTAATTTCATCTGGTGACCCCTAGTTCTTGTGTTATGAGAAGTAGTAAACAACACTTCCTTATCTACTTTCTCTACACCAGTTATGATTTTATGGACTTCAATCATATCTCTCCTTAGCCGTCTCTTTTCCAAGCTGAAAAGTCCCAGTCGTATTAATCTCTCCTCATTATGGAAGCCATTCCATACCCCTAATCATTTTTGTTGCCCTTTTTTAACCTTTTCCAATTCCAAGTAGAGAGTAGTTTATACCTCCCTGCACCAGTGGGATAAATCAAACCGGATGTCTGTAGTTTAACTGCTTAAAATAAATAAATGAAGCCCAGTGTTTTTGTCTAAATAAATCCAATATCTGTATCTTCTCCCTCACTCCTGTATAGTTAATTTAAGTCCTTCCATCATTTCTGAATCATACTAATCTGATCAGTAGAACTACGAAGTTTCTTAAATGAAGGTGTATTATTGTCATAATTTCCCATGGATCAATTAATTATGACAAAAAGCCACTAATTTTAGTTCTAATTGAACATAATGATGAGACTCCAGAATCTAATTTTATCAAGGTTGCTTCTTGCTGGAATGTTCATCACCTCCGTATCAGAAAACTTTGTCAGATTCTGTTCAGATTAATGATGCCTTTTTGTAACTCGCCCTCTTTCCCTCTCTCTCTCTCTCTTATTTTGCAGGGTCAACCCGGTCCTCAAGTAAGTGTCATCTTGTTCTTTTACACTAGATTATGCCTAACTGTGGAGTCAACAGAACTCTGATTATCTTCAAATTCTTTTTATTTTTTGGGACGGGCATTTAAAAAAGGCTAGAAGCTGGTAATCGTTACACAACACAGTAGACCAAATATTTCCCAAGAGAGAAACATGGGGCCCCCATATGGTTGTTTTAATTCCATCAGCTGTTTGACCAGATGGTGGGTTTAACAATGTATTACCAAGTAAAGCAGATCACTTAACTATGGGTTGAAACTTTGCCACATAACTTTAAAGCAAGATGAAATAACTTCACAAATGTGTAGCAGGAGCTGGTTCACATTAACTGCTTATTAATCACATTCTAATAATGCTGTTGTAATCTGGGCAGGCTTCAGTTATTTCAGATATTGCACTACTGACTTCTTTGATTAATTATATACAATCCCTGAATTAGTTCTGCTTTGGTTAAGGATAACACAACTACATGTCATGTGAGGGGTAATTAAAGAAATGGGAATTCAGTGAAAAGGAAATTCATTCAGAGTTCTCAGTCAGACACAGAAAATAAAAGAGGGGAAGTATTAGATATAACAGAAATGATATATAAATTACTTGGGTTATATTCAGAAAAATGGAAGAGTAAAAGAGGAGGAGGACTAGGCAAAACTAAACTGGGTTTTAGTTAATATAAAATTAAGGTTCTTTCCATTTGCATGGTTGTAATGCATCATGAAATATTTAGATTTTTTTTGTCTGAAAACTTTATGGTTTTCTGATGTTTAAGTGTTTTTTTATTGAAAAATGAATATTTTTCATAGAAAGCAGACACTTTCAGCAAACTACCCCTTCCCAGTTTTGATGAAAAATTTTTGATCAGCCCTGGTACTAAATAATTTTCCCAGTCTTAACTATGCTCATGAGGAATTTGGAGTGCAAAAAGTTAATCGGCTTGGCTAAACTAAATGGCTTCCTGGCTCCAAAGAATAAGTTTTTCCTATGCTGTCAAAGGGAACACTTAGAAAGTTTCCCGTGTTATAGGTCTATTTGTTTGCACTAAGAGCAGAGCTAAATTACAGTACTATGTCCTACATTAACACCTATTCTTGGGTCAGCCTTGATATGTATGAAGTATTTACTACATCCATGCAACACACACATAAATAAATCCACAACTGGAAAACAGTTGTATTTAAATTTTTATTGATTCAATATCAACGGGGTCTTTTTCGTAATAATACAATATAAAAGATCATTTAATTTTATGTTTTTCCTACTTCAGCTCAGTAAAAATGATCTCTGTATTACAAACCACGAGCACTTTCTATAAAAGCTCCTGTTCCTATTCTAGTGCTGACAATAATGACCCCAAAGCAGAACTACAGGTTTTTTGTCATAGCCTTTAAATAGTACAGCACCTTTTTATGGTTACTTTTTTCCTTTAAAAAGAAAACAGTTTTGAATACCCTACTGTTAACAAAATTAGTCTGAGGAATAGTGGCAATACATGAAGCCGGGCTTTGGTTTTTTAAAGTTAAAAGGCTGGTGCTAAAATGATTCCAAAGAGCATCAGGGATGTCTTATTTCGGATATGAAATCCAGCGATTAACACTCACCAAAGGGGTTCATTTCCACTGGAAATCCATAAGGCCAAATTCTCCCCTCAGGCATGACCATGCAACTCCTATTGAATACAATGGAAATACATACATTTATCAAAGAACAGAATATTGCCTGTAGGTTATCGTTAAGCCTGCGTAGAATATAATACCCTGGCAGTGAAAGAAGATGGGTTACATTAATGAGAAAAGGAGTAACTTTTGTTATTTTCTCTAGTAACGAAAGGCACATAAATGTTAGAAAACAATGAGCATACTACAATAATCAAAGGAAAGACCAAACTTGCTTAGGAAATCCCACTGTGAGCTCTTTTAGTTGAGTATTCGTACAGCGCCTGTCACAAAGGAGTCCAGATCCAAGACTGTGGCTCCTGGATACTACAGTAGTACAAATAATAAATAAAAATAATACCCACCACCAATAAATAAAAATATTGTCAAAGTGCTTAATTGTAGCTTTTTTTACCATTTACTTCCCAGTTTCCCCCAGCATCACGTGGAAGTACCCTGTGCCCAGTCTTTTCCTGGTGCAGTATACTTCTTCCAGTGTTCCAGCATAACTACTTAGGAGACCAAGCCAAGAGACTGACAACTTGCAATCTGCACTTTATATGGGACATCACAGCTTTACAGAGACTGCTCTCCTCTCTTCAGTGGCCTTCCAAATCCTTATTAGAACTGGGCAAAATATTAATAATTATTTGTTTTAATCAGACCTTGCCTGTTTTCATATTTGTGAAATGTCTGTGAAAGAATTTTACATCCATTTGATACTTCCCAATTTAATGTTATGTACATGTCATAAGGGAACTGCAACACTTTTTGTGACAAATGTTCGCTTTTTTTTTTTTTAACTTCGAGCTTCCTTAACTTCGAGCTTTGAACAACAGTACTCGGTTATATTTGGTCCCAAAAACCCCATAGTATTGGCTCTGGTTTCCTGATTGGCTGAAGCCACTCTATGTAGTCAGCGGGTTTGGCGAAAAAACACTTTGATGTGTTTTCTAAGAGTAGTGCCTTCATATTGTACTTTTTTCCTGTGACAGTCAGGAAGAAAATTGTCAGCAGCACACAGAGAGTAGCTCTGTGATGTCTTGTGCTGCAGTATGTGTGGGAAAGCAGTTTATCATCCCTTAAAGAATTTCCAGGATTCTAGGGGAGTACTGGCCAGGACTGGTGGCCCCGCAAAGACACTGGAAGAGAGAGCAGTGCATCCGCCAAAGAAACTAGAGGAGGGTAGCAGGCAACAGGTCCTTTTGCTTAAGAAGCAATCACCAAGTAGAGTTGGAAGGCAATTGTGTGGGGATAGTGGGCTGCAAGGCCTGGTGAGTTTCTCTATAGGTGCAGGCAGGTTGGATAGCCATCCATATTCAGCCTTTGAGGTACCTTTCTCAATAAATATATATATAATTTAGTTTTGGGAGGCTGGTTTACACCAGGCTGCTACGTGTAGGTGGCTATGTTAAAGCTATAGTCCCGTGGCGTGCAGGTCATAAGAATCAATAGTGTTGTAGGTACACTGAAGAGTTGGAAAACAGGCTGGGTTATCTGGTGCAACACCATCACAACAAAGCCTAACAACAATATCCATTATTCCCTCAAACTGGCTTCCCTTTCTCCAGCTGCTCCAAATTGAGGTTTAAACTCTTTGACAGTTTCTCCACCTGGGTGCTTGCAATATTACCATGGATTGTAGGGGATGGAAGATAGGTAAAGACAAGCTCACAGTGTGCAGCATCAAAACCAGGTCCAGAGAAGTAGCCCATGACTGCGGATGCAGAAGAAGTGATGCCTCATTTACTGTCTCCTGGCCCATGGGCATCTCAGCCAGCTGCAATGCTAGCTGAATGACACTGTCTTCTAGCTGTCCATGAGCCAGAGATTTTTGTCAGCTAGCACACACCGCTGATCATCCAGTGCCTTGTCATAATGAGTGAGAGAAGCCCCAAACTCACAGGAGATGGCTGTCATCTGGGCCACCACCTGTTCCACTCTGCAGAAAAATCTGGCAGCTGTTTCCCTTTTAGTGGCCGCTGATGCTTCACTTCATCAAGTGGTCCCTCCCCCTGCTGAATGATAAAAGGAGATATGCCCATTTATTATGTGAAAATTCCATTTGTTTGTGCAGATATGCATTATGTGTGATGCACAGTGTATGCAGGTCAAACTTAAGCCCCAAACTTTACCAATTTGATCAGTGTTACATAAAGTTATGTACAGTCTCATAAATCCTTCATTTCTAGGCACAGTGGACTGAGTTAAGTATGGAGTGAAATTGGTATAGTTGTGGTGATTAGTTTAAATGATATCATTAGAGCCAAAATTTCAATATAGGTGTGCTTGGAAGGATTCAGTGTTTATCAGTAAATGTTGGGAATGTCCATTTCACCTTCTACACACAAATCGACTAAAAAAATATTTCCATCGACGATCACTGAAATGTACAGTTAGGCAAAGTAAGAAAAATGCTTCCTGAGAACTTACTAGAGTTTGATTTAAGACTATTTACTTGTATATTTTGACATGTGATACTGACAATGTGTGTTTCAATGGCTATCCGACATTAACTTTTTGAATCTCCACTTTTCTGTCATTAAATAATTGTCTAGCCCTCTTCCCCATTGTTTAATTCCCCTGTAATTTCTCACAACTGTGAAAATGTGAATTGATAAAAATAGGAAAAAATAGTTAAAAATAAACATCAATATTATTCATTGAAATTGTATTTAAATCTAATTAGTCCAAGCATAAATATGGGCTATGAAACTTCTGCTACAAAGTTTGTACATTCACTTTGTATGCGTAAAACTGCATTTTTTAATGTAAAAACTGAAGTTTGAGTAACAACCAAGTAAGGACTTAAGTATAAGGCCCACTGTGCATCCTCATTACTGTGATCTTTCATTTAAAATGAAGCCAAAAAGCTTTTTACTTTTAAAGACACTGGGTCAGGTTTTTTGTTTCTCCTACAGTAGATGACTTCACTAACACATAAACAGTACAGAGAGCTACTGCATATCCCCTATCCTGTATCAGGTGTTAGTGATGTCTACATCCATTGACTGGAAGACGTAGAACCCTGAAATCATATCTTGGCAGGTGCTGGAAGTTAAGGGCGGAAAATATTTTTTATGGGAATTAAAAATTTACTAGACTTTTATAATAAGGAAGAGGAGACATTGAACCAGAATTAAACAATGGGTCTGCTTATTTTGATTGTTCTTTATAAAGGTATTTACAGCATCTGTAGTTTTGTCTATACATAAAGACAATGATTCTCCTCTCGGTTGCAATCATTTATATTCAGAATATCAAGTCAATAGAGTTACACCAGTGTAAATGAGAAGAAAGTTGGGCCCAGACTCTGATAATTTGGGCTCTTAA